CCGAGGGGCCTCATACCAGCACCTTGGACAGCATTTTCAGAACCACTGATGGAGGACGACTGGGAATTTGATGGTTTCAGTACTCTATCAGCTGGATGTCTCCACAGCGTGGACGAGGGCGAGCCGACCTTCATCTTCGGGGACGCCAGTGGTGGTCCGTGGTGTCTGGACCCCCACTGGAGTGGGGGTCCAGACACCACGGACCCCCGCCTGCGCCGAGTTGCTCTTGGGATCGTGGTGCTTCGCAGCTTCCGCCACCCCGAGGTCAGCCAGTAACCCCAGAAAGCATTTAAGAAACCCCACGGCGATATCGTAGCACCGATGATGATGATGGTGATGATGATGATGATGATGATGATGATGATGATGATGATGATGATGATGATGATGATGATGATGATGATGATGATGATGATGATGATGATGATGATGATGATGATGATGATGCGGATATGGATGATGGTGCGGAAGGGTTATCGATTTGCCGGAGGGGGGGGTTCTTAAATGCTTCCTGGGGTTAGGTTACAGGTGGACTTGCTGGTAGGCGACAGAGCGTACCTCGGGGGGAGCTGAAAGCTTTGTGGCTCGCAGTCTGGGCCAGCCAGGGTCCCCGTTGTGTACACCGCCGACTGTGAAAATGCCTGGAACTGCTGGCACCGGGAACGCTTTCGGAATCCACGAGGGGAGGACTCGGATCTCTGGGCGGCGATAGGCATTCTCCTGGACAGCAGAGATGCGAGCAAAATCCAGGCTTTTGTCGTGAACTCGCACCTTTCTGGAGAGGATGTTGTGGCAGGCAGAGTTACGAGCTGGCAGGCTGTTGGCAATGCTGTCATCGATCACTTGGTAGGCGCCAAGGCAGAAGAACTTCGAGCCAGTGTGAGCGAGAGGTACCAGGTGTTGGACGCAGAGAGGAGAGCGTTCATTGTGAGGCACAGGTTGCTGCGCGCGACGGCCGACGCCATTGCCAGCGACATCTGCGAGAGGAGGAACAGGCAGGTGAGTCACGGTTCGCCTCCCCCTCATCCTCCCCCTCCTCCTCCTCCAGCACCTGGTGTCGTCGCCACCTTCACCACTTCCCACGTTCTGGACGACAGTGGTTATAAGTGCAAGTGCTGTTTGGGGTGTGCTTCCAAAGACCGCCTCGAGGTTTGGAAACGGACCCCGTGTTTCAAGCCCATGAGTTTAAACGGAGATTTTCACACCGTCCCCCATGGGGATCGGTTACACGTGGCTGGGGACTGGGTGCACGAATCTCACGCTTTAAATATCAGTAATAGGTTGGGTCTCTGGCTTTGTGGGTATTGTGGAGCCGTTGCCAGCTTACAGAATGTCAAGCGCCGCAGACCCTGTGACGGTCGAGCCACCCAAACGGGCGAGGGTTGATTGAAGATGATCCGCCAGGCGGAGTGGCCCAGGCCTCTTGAGTAGAGCCGAGAAGGCCCGCCGCTCCGCTGATGAGCGGCATCCAGCCCCCCTCGGTCGAAGGCTCCCCCTTTTCTTTTCCTCTCACTTAGTGAGCAGTCATTCTCATTCTCATGATCCTCCTCCTCCTCCTCCCCCTCCTCCCCCTCATCATTCTCATCCTCCTCCTCCTCCTCCTCCTCCTCCTCCTCCTCCTCCCCCTCCTCCCCCTCATCCTCCTCATCCTCCACCTCCTCCCCCCCTCCTCCTCCTCATCCTCCACCTCCTTCCCCCATCCAATTTACGATGGTGGTGGTGGTGGAAAACCATCCCATGAGTGCATAGACCGAAGCTCTCGGAGGCCTGCGCGGATGCCTTGGATCGGCCGTCGGGGCCCCCGTGGCGGCGCCCCCGGCGCCGCCCCTGGCGCGCTCCCCGCGCGCCAGAGATGCGGGGGGGGGGCCCCGCGCCGATCCGAGAGAAAATCCGAGCGGGCCGTCGAGAGTGCACGTTTTGCGCAGTGGCTGTTCTTCCTCGGCTCCTTGCGCCCGTTCTCCTCCTCGCTAATCCGCCGCTGCTCTGCCAGCCTCTGCCGCGCGTCCTCGCCGCCGAGCTGCTCCTCCACCTGCCGCAGCTTCGCGCCGACGGCCTTGTGGTCCTCCCTGGCCTTCTGCAGCGCCGCCGCGGCCTGCTGCACCTGCTTCTCGAGCGAGGCGTTCTTCGTCCGCCACACCTGGGCGGCGAGAAGAAGCGGGCCCTACAGTGGGGGCCCGACCACAGGAAACCTTCCACAAGAAAGCTAACACGGAGACCCCAGGACGTCCATCGATTTTTGGTGGGAACGTCACGCTCTCCATGGCAAAACCATCGAAACCCAAGAAATCCAGGGCACCCTGGAGGCAAGCAGGATGTTTCTTGGCATGGGCCTCCACTGTACGCGAGATGGCACAGCGACCTTACACTGCGGCTTACGCGGGCCGCCAGCGTGGCACGCTGCATTCGAGACGAGGGCGCTCACGCGCGACCGTACGCGGGCAGCTCACGCGCGCATGTCGGCGCAATCGGACGCGTTGTTTGTGCGTCGCTCACCTGGGGAGAAGCAAACAAACTATCAGTACCGCTACTCCCTGGACCTCTCCTGGGGTGCGTTCTGACCAGAACTTTGAGGCGGATCCGGCCGTGGCGGCGAGGGCCTCCCAGGAGCTCCAACAATGCGAAAACGACAGACGCGTAGCGACATGGGTGCCTTTTCCTCATCTGGCTCCCCTGGATGCTGGGTCACAAGTGAGCTCTCCGGCGGCCGTTCGGGACGATCCGGGCACCCCCAGGCACGCTCTCAGCGAGGCGCAGCCGCTGGAGAGCAGCCCGAGGCTGAAAGACCGTCGCAAACCGACGAAACCCGTCGAGGGCCTCGACCCTCGGACCCTGCTCCGAAAGCCTGCAGCTCCGCGTCCAGCCGCTCGACCTGCATCAGGGCGCGGGCGTCGCCGTCCGCCTCGATCTCGTCGGCGGCCGCCTTGGCGAGGGTGCGCTCCCTCTGGCGGTTCTCCGCCGCCAGCTGCTTCTGGCGCTTGTTCTCGGCGTCGATGTCCCGCTCCAGCGCGCGCAGTTCCTCACGGGCGGCGAGCGCAGCCATGTCCACGCCCACGTGGTCTGGACTCTGGGGCGCGACCCCGCGGATACGCGGTCGCACGGATCCATTCCGCACGGGGCATCCGCGAAAGAACGACCCTCATCCGCGGGGTCGCGGCCCAGGGTCCTGGCCCGCGAGGCTGCAGATACGGATACCATATCGTGTTTTAGTTTTCAATGAACGCCCATGTTATCCACGGGATGAATGGGGGGCCGGCCGATAATCGATAACCTAACCTTTTCGCTTTGGGCAGCCACACGTGTGCTCGCGCGAACCAATACTGCCTCCACCTTCGGACCTGTGAAACCGACAAGGTCACACTACTGGGGGGGGCGGGCCCGATAACCCAGGTGTTCGCCAGACCCGTGAACCACTCGCTATGTGTTTCCTCGCCATCGCTCGGACGTCCATTCCCTGTGTTTTTTTCGGTCTCGTGCGTGGTTTCTTCGCCAAATGATCAAGGATGCTCCTCGACTGTCCTCGCCGAAGGAAAAATGCACACGTCCGAGCGATGCCGAGTTTCGCCCAAGAAGTCCTTCAGATGCTCCTGCTCCGGGTCCTCCAGCAGCTGCGACAGCCGCTCGTGCTCTTCCTCGCAGTTCCGCAGCTTCTGCCGCGCCCACTGCAGGTCCTTTCTGGCACAAGTAAGGACATGTTAGCCACCGTGGACCCCAAACACAGCAGGTCCTTGCAGTCGACGAGATGCAATCTATGCGGAGCAAATAATTTCTGTTCGCAGTGAGTTGTCCACTCCACTGCTCGCGCAAACATCCCACCCACCCACCCGCAACTTGGTTTGCAAAATCTCTTGAGACCGTGACGGTGGGTACCACATGGCACTTGGCAACAACAGCGACGCCGACGACGACAGCGACAACGACGATGACGACGCCGCCGACAACGACTACGACGACACCGACGACGTCTCCAACGACTTCGACGACGCCGACAACGACGACGACGACGACACCGACGACGACGACGACGACACCGACGCCGACGCCGACGACGACGACGACGACGACGACGACAACGACGACGACGACGACGACGACGACGACGACGACGACAACGACGACGACACCGACCGACGACGACGACGACGACGACGACGACGACGACGACGACGACGACGACGACGACGGCGGCGACGACGACGACGCCGACGTCGACGACGACGACGACGACGAAGACGACAACGACGCCGATGCCGACGACGACGACGACGACGAAGACGACGACGACGACGCCAACGAAGACAACGAGGAAGGAGGAAGGACGGCGACGGCGACAACGAAGACAACGACGAGGGAAGGGGGAGGACGGAGACGACGCGAACGACGAAGAAGGAGGAAGGACGGCGACGCCGACGACGGCAACGACGAGGGAGGAGAGAAGACGACGACGACGACGACGACAACGACGACGACGACGACGACGACGACGACGACGGCGACGAAATAGGAGGGACGACGACGAGACGCCGACGACGGACGACGACGACGACGAGGGAGTAGGAGGAAGGACGACCACGGCGACAACGACGACGGAAACGACCACGACGCCAAAGAGGATGACGACGACGAACACGAGGGAAGACAGAGGACGACGTAGGCGACGACGACGACGACGACAACGACGCGGGAGGAGGGGGACGGCGACGACGACGACGACGACGCAAGAGCGCGCGCGCACGCTTTTGTTGAAAATTCGTGTTGCGAAACCTTGGGTTTTCGTATGTTTTTTGGACGCGCGAGTTTGAAATCCTTCCGAAAACCGATGGGTTTTGAAGGTTTTCGGCATACGCGCGCGACGACGCGCGCGTCTGCACTTCGTCCCATTTTTTGCAGGGGATTCTCGCGACGGCACACGCGCAAGGGCGTTCGACAGATTTCGACATGAGCGCGCGCGAAGCCCGTTTGGTACAGTATTTTGTGAAAATCTTGACAAACCTATGGTTTCCTGAAGATTTCGCAAGAGCTCGCGCGGAAGCTTTTTTAGCAAACCAGTGTCGCGAAACCCTGTGTTTTTTCCCAACCCTCCTTGGTTGGGTATTCGTTTTGAATAGAGCAATGTGGTCTCCACTCCTTCCTTCCTTCCTCCTCCCTCCCTCCCTGCCTCTTCCTGTCTTGCCTGCGGGGGGCTGCGATCTGTGAAACTGTCGCCATTTTCGAGGCCTGCTGGGGGGCCCAGCAAAGTGAGGGCGACGCGCAGATTCAAATTAGACCTCGCCATCCCTGGGGGGGTTGCGATCTGTGAAACTGCAGCCATTTTCGAGGCCTGCTGGGGGGCCCAGCACAGTGAGGGCGACGCGTAGATTCAAATTAGACCTCGCCATCCCTGGGGGGGCTGCGATCTGTGAAACTGTCGCCATTTTCGAGGCCCTGCTGGGGGGCTCGGCACAGTGAGGGCGACGCGCAGATTCAAATTAGACCTCGCCATCCCTGGGGGGCTGCGATCTGTGAAACTGTCGCCATGTTCGAGGCCTGCCGGGGGGCCCAGCACAGTGAGGGCGACGCGCAGATTCAAATTAGACCTCGCCATCCCTGGGGGGGTTGCGATCTGTGAATCTGTCGCCATTTTCGAGGCCTGCTGGGGGGCCCAGCAAAGTGAGGGCGACGCGCGGATTCAAATTATACCTCGCCATCTCTGGGGGGGGCTGCGATCTGTGAAACTGTCGCCACTTTCGAGGCCTGCTGGGGGGGCCTTGCACAGTGAGGGCGACGGGCGGACCCAAATTAGAGCTCGCCATCCCTGGGGGGCTGCGATCTGTGAAACTGTCGCCACGTTCGAGGCCTGCTGGGGGGCCCTGCACAGTGAGGGCGACGGGCGGACCCAAATTAGACCTCGCCAGCCCTGGGGGGCGATCTGTGAAACAATCGCCACTTTCGAGGCCTGCTGGGGGGCCCTGCACAGTGAGGGCGACGGGCGGACCCAAATTAGACCTCGCCATCCTTGGGGGGGCTGCGATCTGTGAAACTGTCGCCACTTTCGAAGCCTGCTGGCGGGCCCAGCACAGTGACGCCACGCGCGGACCCAAATTAGACCTCGCCATCCCTGGGGGGCTGCGATCTGTGAAACTGTCGCCACTTTCGAAGCCTGCTGGGGGGCCCAGCACAGTGACGCCACGCGCGGACCCAAATTAGACATCGCCATCCCTGGGGGGCTGCGATCTGTGAAACTGTCGCCATCTTCGAGGCCTGCTGGGGGACCCAGCACAGTGACGCCACGGGCGGATTCAAATTAGACCTCGCCATCCCTGGAGGGGCTGCGATCTGTGAATCTGTCGCCACTTTCGAGGCCTGCTGGGGGGCCCAGCACAGTGACGCCACGCGCGGACCCAAATTAAACATCGCCATCCCTGGGGGGCTGCGATCTGTGAAACTGTCGCCACTTTCGAGCCCTGCTGGCGGGCCCAGCACAGTGACGCCACGCGCGGACCCAAATTAGACCTCGCCATCCCTGGGGGGCTGCGATCTGTGAAACTGTCGCCATCTTCGAAGCCTGCTGGGGGACCCAGAACAGTGACGCCACGCGCGGACCCAAATTATACCTCGCCGTCCTTGGGGGGCTGCGATCTGTGAATCTGTCGCCACTTCCGAGGCCTGCTGGGGGGCCCAGGACAGTGACACCACGCGCGGACCCAAATTAGACCTCGTCATCCCTGGGGGGCTGCGATATGAGATCCCCGCTTTCGAAGTGGCTAGGGTTGCCCATGGATTGTAACTAATCAGCTTTATCTAGTCCTTGTCCTGTAGCCAGTGTCCTGCGAGTCTCCCGAATTCCGTCTGCAGACATATGTAACCATTGCTCCGTCATCGCCCCCCTTATAAAGTGTCCTAAACTATTTGCGCCCCGCGTTTGCGCAGGGGTTGGGTGTGTCGCCAGGGTAATTGTATGTTTTTTTTGGGGGGGAAGATCGATTGCGAAATCCGTCCGACACCGACGGTTTTTGAAGGATTTCGGCATGCGCGCGCGACGACGCGCGCGTGTGCACTTCGTCTCATTTTTTGAAAGGGATTCGTGAACAAGTGTTATGTTGAACAAAAAATGTCACCGCATAGTGTTTTTTACAAGGGAACCTCAGGGGGGGGGGGAACCGGCCTAACTGGGATGGTGCGATTTCATATCTAGGATGGACGAATGTGCAGAATACATATATATATATATGTAATTATAGTATCCCAATGGGAAGCGTTAAGTCCGGGGGGGGGTAGAGTCTATTAGAATCCACTCTGCAGAACTTGAAGTCGTCATCTCCACTGCTCGCGTAAACATCCCACCCACCCACCTGCAACTTGGTTTGCAAAACCTCTTAAGACCGACTACGACGACACCGACGACAACGACTACGACGACACCGACGACGTCTCCGACGACTTCGACGACGACAACGACGCCGACGCCGACGACGACGAAGACGACGACGACGACCAACGAAGGCGACGACGAGGGAGGAGGAAGGACGACGACGGCGACAACGACGACAACGACGACAACGACGAGGGAGGAGGGAGGACGGCGACGACGCGAACGACGAAGAAGGAGGAAGGACGGCGACGCCGACGACGACAACGACGAGGGAGGAGGGAAGACGACGACGACGACGACGACGACGACGACGACGACGACGGCGACGAAATAGGAGGGACGACGACGAGACGCCGACGACGGACGACGACGACGACGAGGGAGGAGGAGGAAGGACGACCACGGCGACAACGACGACGGAAACGACCACGACGCCAAAGAGGACGACGACGACGAACACGAGGAAAGACAGAGGACGACGTAGGCGACGACGACGACGACGACGCGGGAGGAGGGAGGACGGCGACGACGACGACGACGCAACAGCGCGCGCGCACGCTTTTGTTGAAAATCCGTGTTGCGAAACCTTAGGTTTTCGTAGGTCTTTTGGACACACGACTTTGAAATCCTTCCGAAACCGATGGGTTTTGAAGGTTTTCGGCATACGCCCGCGACGACGCGCGCGTCCGCACTCCGTCCCATTTTTTGCTGAGGATTCTCGCGACGGCACACGCGCAAGGGCGTTCGACTGATTTCGACATGCGCGCGCGCGACGCCCGCTTGGTAGCATGTTGTGAGCATCTTGAAAAAAACTATGGTTTTGCTAAGTTTCCTGAAGATTTCGCAAGAGCTCGCGCGGAAGCTTTTTTAGCAAATCAGTGTTGCGGAACCCTGTGTTTTTGTATGTTGTTTGGACACTCGATTGCGAAAACTTTCCGGCACCGAAGGTTTTTGAAGGATTTCGGCATGCGCGCGCGACTACGCGCGCGTGCGTACTTCGTCCCATTTGTTCCAAGGGATTCGCGAAAAAGTGCTATGTCTATGTTAGAACAAAAAACGTCAACGCATACTGTCTTTTACAAGGGACCCTCAGGGGGGGGATACCGGTTGGCATTTGACATTGCGATTTCGTATTTAGGATGGACATGTGGTCAGAATCATATATGATTTGCATACCCGAAAGGGGGACCGATAACGCCGGGGGGGGGTAGAGTCTATTATGTGTTTTAATTTCTGTTCGCAGTGGGTTGTCCACCCCACTGCTCGCGCAAACATCCCACCCACCCACCCGCAACTTGTTTTGCAAAATCTCTTGAGGCC